GCGGTATACAGTGAATGCGGGGTCCGGGGAGAGCGGATATAGTGAATGCAGGGGTCCGGGTGAGAGCGGATATAGTGAATGCGGGGTCCGGGGAGGGAGAGCGGATATAAGTGAATGCGGGTCCGGGGAGAGCGGATACAGTGAATGCGGGGTCCGGGGAGAGCGGATACAGTGAATGCGGCAAAACATCCAATGAAGAAAAAAATTTAAATCCACCAGAAGGCGTTTTACTTTTTTTTTTTTTTTTAATATCATATTAATTCAAAGGACCATAATGTTGAAAAAAAACTATATTTTTTCCTTTCTGTTATAAAACATCCAATAAAACAATTGAGTCTGTCTGTGATACTTTTTTTATTTGCAATAACTTACAATTTTGAGGACAAGCTTTCGGGGAGTGTCCCCTTCTTCAGGTCTAAGCAGTACTGTACAGATCACAAAGTTTCAGCAGAATGAAGAAAAAAAAAAAAAAACATTCTGCTGAAACTTTGTGATTTGTACAGTACTGCTTGGACCTGAAGAAGGGGACATTCCCGAAAGCTTGTCCTCAAAATTGTATGTTAGTGCAAATAAAAAAAGTATCACGGACAGGACTCAATTGTTTCTGTCACAAATGCACGAATACGGCTACAATCACACCAATGAAATAGAGAAATTAAAATCCACCTTCATAAATTTCGGCCAAAATGTATTCTGCTAAGAAAAAAAAAATCCTAATACGTGTATATTAATTGTATGAAAGGTTTAGCGTCTAAAAACGACGCGATATATACAGGAATTTACGCAGCTGTAAGCACCATACTAGTAATGGTGGTGATCTGCCACTTATAGTGAGACTGTGATAGTGCGGAAGGCAATCTGGCGCTAGCTGATGCTGGCTTGGAGGGACACTAACTGACTGACATCCCCAGTGACCCTAAAGGCCGGCCATACATGGGTCGAAAATCAACCGATTTTTCGTCTGAATAATCGGTCGATTTTCGCTCTGTTAGTGGGGTCAATGGCAACCGGCCGATTTTCGTGGTTCCCTTTTCGGTGATCGGGCATGTTGGAAAATTCATGAAAAACGACCGATTTTCGACTCGATGGTCAAATGGTACGATGGTTTTTCCGAAAAGAATATGCGCGTGAGCCGTGACCTGGAAGGAACAGAAGTTTCACCTGTTATTTGGGGTGAATTCTATGACTCGGTCGGCCGATTTTCAAATCAATGATGGCGCCATCGAATTTTCGGTGATCGGGCATGTTGGAAAATTCATGAAAAACGACCGATTTTCGACTCGATGGTCAAATCGTACGATCGGTTTTCCGAAAAGAATACACGCGAGCCGTGATCTGGAAGGAACAGAAGTTTCGCCTGTTATATGGGGTGAACTCTATGACTCGGTTGGCCGATTTTCGAAATCAACGATGGCGCCATCGGATTACCGAGCGAACGACGTTTTCGACTTTCAGACGAAAAATCGATCAACCGTGTGCATAACTGCCCAGACATCCCCAGTGACACCAATACAGTGATCAGTGCTAATACGATACAGTCACTGTACTAATGACACCGGCTGGGAAGGGGTTAACATCTAGGGGCGATCGAAGGGTTCACTGTGTAATGTGTGCTGTTTTTACAAATCGATGTGCATGTTGTTTTCCTCTCCGCTTTGCAGGGCTGCTCTCCGTTCAGAGGTCTGTGCTGTTTATAAACACAGGACTCTGTGCTGTGGTTCGCTAAGCCGGTCAGGTCCCGCCCATAGACCTGCCGGCTGACTTGTGCTGTACTGCATGACAGCACAGAGGGGGCAGCAGCGCTCCCTATACCTGGAAATGCTGGGTCACGCACATGCACGTGATCCAGCGCAGAAGCCCGCAGTGAATGTTCGGTGGGCGGTCCTTAAGCGGTGAGACTGTTATGGGTTGGCCAGAGAGCAGCAGCGGATTCATGAAGACATCCTTCTGCTCATGCTACTCTCTTCCTCTCTCCAGGTTCTACGTCGGAGATTCCCAACCTTTTTGAGAATTGAAATTATTTTCAGGTCTCAAGGAACCCCTGCTAAACCGATTCATTGGAGGTCCGTGGCAAGGATGCCCCTCCCCCTTTTAGTGGTGGTTAGAATATTGGGCGCACACCCTAAATGCCAACAGCTGTCCTTGCTTCCCCTAGCTTTAGGATTTTAACCCGATCACAGTGAAAGGTTTTATGGTGTCATGAGCTCCATCCTAGGAGTGTAAAAATAATCAGAGAACCCCCCCCCCCCCCAGACATGAAATAGGAACAAAGCACATCCCTCTATAGTGTGGACTTGTCTCAGTCCAGAGCACTGAGTGTCATTCCTGTCTGCTGCCTCCTTCCTCTGCTATCAGGATGAGTCACTTCTGACAAGTTTTCCTGACACCAAGCGAAAAATGGTGACAGTGGAGGGATCTCCAGCACACAGCCTGTGATTGACAGCCGCAGCTCTGTTCTTACCCACATGGAAGAAAAATAGATTTGATATATATTTTAAAAATATTCTTCCCAAATATATTGCCGTATATTTAACATGCTACAATTTTGGCCTTGTTCAATTTATTTCAAAATATATTTTCAATAAATAAATATATATATACATACTGCATGTTGAAATGCGTTTTTTTTTATATATTACGAAATATATGAAAAATATTTTTAAAAATATATTTTTTTAAAAATATATTCTTCAGATTTTTCTTTACAAATAAAGAGTCATTTTAATATATATTTGTAAACACATTCTAAAAATGTAGGTTTTGTATTTTTAAAGACATACAGTATATTTGAAATGTATTTTAAAAAATATTTTTCATATATTTTGTAATAAAAATGCATTTCAACATGCAGTGTGTGTGTATATATATATATATCAGGGGCGGACTGACAACTCATGGGGCCCCCGTGCTATAGGGGATCATGGGCCCCTGTGTCCTTGCCCAAACTCAAAAAAGCCTATGAAAAAGGTACCAGGGGCATCTCATGGGGCCCCCTACTGACCCCGGGCCCTCGGGCAATGCCTAAGTTTCCAAATGGTCAGTACGCCCCTGATATATATATAAAAATAATGTGTGTGTGTATATTTATATATATATATATACACACTGTATGTTGAATTCGTTTTTTATATATTACAAACTATCTGAAAAATATTTTTAAAAATATATTTTTTAAAAAAATATTCTTCAGAATTTATTTAACAGATAAAGTAATTTTAACATATATTTTTTAAATGCATTCCAGAAATGTAAATTTGTATTTTTAAAGACATACAGTAAATTTGAAATGTATTTTTTAAAATAATTTTCATATATTTTTTGTAATAAAAACGCATTTCAACATACAGTATATATATATATGTTTTTATTTATTTATTTCAGGTACTTCTATAGCTCTGTCAATTTACGCAGCGCTTTACATATATATTGTACATTCACATCAGTCCCCGCCCCCAAGGGGCGTACAAACTAAACCCTTCAGGGTCCCTAACCCTCAAGGGGCGTACAATCTAAGGTCCCTAACTCACATTCATACATACACACATACTAGGGGCCAATGTAGACAGGAGCCAATTCACCTACCAGCATGTCTTTGGAGTGTGGGAGGAAACTGGAGTACCCGGAGGAAACCCACGCAGGGCACAGGGAGAACATGTAAACTTCAGACAGGTGGCACCGTGGCTGGGATTTGAACCAATGACCCAGTACTGCCATGCGGAAGTGCTAACCATTTAACCACTGTGCTGCCCTATACATACATACATACATACACACATATATATATATATATTACATACAGTAAATTTGAAATGCGTTTTTTTTATTACAAAAAATATATGAAAATTATTTTTAAAAATACATTTCAAATATACACTTTATCTGTTAAAAAAAATCTGAAGAATATTTTTTTTTTTAAATATATTTTTAAAAATATCTTTCATATGTTTTGTAATGTATAAAAAAACGCATTTCAGCATACAGTGTGTGTGTGTGTATATATATATAGTTATTTAAATATATTGAATACGGCCAAAATTGTAGCATTGCAAATATATGTCATTATATTTGGGAAGAATATTTTTAAAAATACATTTCAAATTTACTGTATGTCTTTAAAAATACAAATTTACATTTTTGGAATGCATTTACAAAGATATGTAAAAATATATGTTAAAATACAACTGTTAAAAAAAATCTGAAGTGAAGAATATATATATATTTTTTAAATATATTTTAAAAAATATTTTTCATATATTTTGTAATATATAAAAAACGCATTTTACAACATACAGTGTGTGTATGTATATATATATATATATAATATATATATATATATATATAATATATAAAAAAATATACACACACAGATTTATATATATATATATATATATATATATATATATATATATATACATATACATACACACACTGCATGTTGAAATGCATTTTTATTACAAAATATATAATATAAAATATTTTTAAAAATACATTTCAAATATACTGTATATCTTTAAAAATACAAATTTACATTTTTGGAATGCATTTACAAAGATATGTAAAAATATATTTAAAATGACTGTTAAAAAACATCTGAACAATATTTTTTTTAAAAATATATTTCTAAAAATATTTTTCATATATTTTGTAATATATAAAAAAAAAAAAACGCATTTCAACATACAGTGTAGATATATAGTTATTTAAATATATTGAATACGGCCAAAATTGTAGCATTTCAAATATATGTCATTATATTTGGGAAGAATATTTTTAAAAATACATTTCAAATTTACTGTATGTCTTTAAAAATACAACACATTTACATTTTTGGAATGCATTTACAAAGATATGTAAAAATATATGTTAAAATAACTGTTAAAAAAAATGTGAAGAATATATATATTTTTTTAAAATAAAAAAATATTTTTCATATATTTTTGTAATATATAAAAAACGCATTTCAAATATATATATATATATATAATATATATATATATATA